GAGCACTTTAAGGTATACATTTAAAAAACTCTTTTATGTTTGCCATCATAATATTATAATGTGTTAATAAATTATGAGTAATAAACTAATAATATACTATTTTATATTATAGTATACAATTATATAAAATAATGAAGTCAAAACTTTAATTCAAGACTATAATATAATAAATTGTTTGCTATAGCTACTGTTCTAATAACGATAGTGTGATACTAAAATAGTGTCGTATGACACACCAATGCTTATATTTTGTATAGTAAAAAAGTAAAGTCATACGTTTCCATATTGATTCCGGCATATTATACCCCGCCTGTATATGTCAGCTGTAAGTTATTATTATTATTGTTCCCGTTGGGTTGTTTATTGTGTGCACAAAAGCTGTGAAACTCCTAGCCCCCTCCCTCATCCCCCCCACAAAAAAAGATTTTCATCGCACAACCCCGGCGCGTTCATTCGTCGCATACGGCTCGTGTATAATACGTATCTGTATCATGCATAAATTATCACTACCCGGCCCGGGTTCAATGGTAAATATATATTATATTATACACTCAGCGTAACCCTTGTTTTTTTGTACCTGCACCRCGCTAGAACGAAGCGGCATATAAAAGGAACATACACGTATGGGGCGATTCGGAAAGGGTTGATTCTCGCACGCAGAAAGGGGGACAAAATTAGAGACGAAAAAATCATCGTCGTCAATACAATATATTAAAATAATAACAATTTATAACGGTCGGGAAAAATAAAAAAAAGTAGAATTAAAAATTAATTAACACTTACAACATTACGCGACGACGTTCAAAAATACAGGCAGCTGCATGTATATATACACATATATGTATTACGTGTGTATATATGGGATATATATGTTATATTGGGAAGTTATTGGCGACTGAAATGTTCGATTTTTACGATATGACGCGGCTGAGTAATACCTTATACCAATATAATATTGTTATGTAACAATTAACAATACAATAATTATATTATATAAAGAAGACGAATAACGGTTGATCGATTAATGGATAAAGTGTCATCCGAGTTTCCCGTCAGCAACCACCGTAAAATTCGACGCAAATACTACGCGTGACAAGTGACAACATCAGTATATAATAWAATATCGGTACACAGTCCTGTCGTAGTTTTGCAACACTCGTCTATTGCCCCCTCCCATTCCCCTCTATCACAACACACTATTATATTATTATGTTTTGCCTCACGTGGCGACGGTGTCGTTATCGGTCGCTGTTTTTCGAGATAATTTCGGCTCGCAATCTCAACTACCTACGCTCTAATACCATAATGACAGTATAACATTTATTAACATTACCAACAATCAAGCTATTTGAACGCGCTACAAACACTTGTGTATCGTCGAGACGATCAACACGCATACGCTGCACACGCTACARACGTCAAGTTCAATCCTCTACCACCGTCGCTGAGATAAAATTATTCGCTGTAGGCTATAGGTACTAGGCTATGCTTGTATTGCTATCGAGTGCTAACGACGACAGTCGAAACCCGTCAAAAGTTATAGCCGAGAAGTGAGGATATACAATTTATAAATTAAAAAACAAAAAGTTTTATTTATGTTTTTATGGAGTTTAAAYGGCTGAAACGCAATATTATACCATTATAATAGGTATAGATATTATTTTGGCACCATCACGGCGTCACATAATTCTTGTTTCCATGAAACATAGTAAATTCTTAAATATATGATCAAGTTCATACAACATAATCATAAAATGTATATTATGTTCTTCTGAAAATCACGGAAAAAAATAAACAAGACTATTCATAAAAATGCATATATTTATAAATAAGTATACATTTCTAACCTCGTAATATCTACAGATTGCGAGTTCATGTTCTGAGATAAAAAAAAATAATATTAATTAATTAAAAAAGTAAAGTTTTATTTTATCTGTGGTGAAATACTGAAATAATGTAAAAAATAATGCAACAAAACATGATAACATTTTCAAGATCGTAACTAAATGATTAATTATTAGCCGGATGTCAACGATGATATGAATAAGAACAATTATTATAGGAGAATCGATGAATTACGATATAGAAATATAGAATCATAACTTTACACCCAACTCCGAACAGAACAAAAAATTCTGAATCTCTTAAAATCAACCAATTTAATTAACAAAATGAAATCTAAGGATAATTATAATTATATAACATTTTGTAAAAATACTTTAAATAAGTTTAACTAGCAAATTCAAATGTAACTAAAAGTCTCTGCTGTTAATAGTACCAATAAAAATAAAATATCAAACTTCAATTATCAAATATTATACCTATCTTTATATAATAGGCATAGGTAATAAGTGTTTGCTTTATTTTGGAGTTAGGTACGCTTTCATCAGACTATGTAACACGAAAATAGATGATAAATATGACAGATATGACTAGGAAAAAAGAGTGTAGAATAGAAAAGTCATGAGTTATTATACGAGTAATAATGGATGTCCAATATAATTTCAGACAATTTAATTTAATTTACTTTTTCGTTTTACACGTTTGTGTTGTCAAACATCATACTGTAAGCAACTAGAAAAATCACGAACAAGACCGGTCGTGGCGTGCGTGCTACATATACCTATAAAATATTAGAAACCACTGCGCTAACCATGGTACACCGTTAATAGAACCTTATTATAATAGTATCTTATTATTTACTTACAAAATAATTATTATAGACTTGTGGGGCGGAAACATTGTCGTTGTCGGATGCGGTCGCGGCGTAATATTTAATACGGAATTCATTGCGGCGGCGGACAACAACGGACGACGATTGTTTATTATTATTATTATTGTTATATATATCGTTCGATAGGCGATAATTAATGTTATTTTTTAGATTTTATTAATTGTGTATATATATATATTTTTCACAACGCATCCGGCCAGACGTGTAGGGTTCTACCATACCTGCAGTAGGTCGTAATATACACTAGCCATAACAGCAGCCGAAGGTATATATTCTTATCATGGAATTACTTCCGTTAGTGCCGTTGGCTTCTGGTGGCACGCGCTTCTGCAGATAAGCAGTTGAAATCTGAGTATAAATACAACGGCCTCATTGAATGAAATTTAAAATTTTCCTTTAACTGCTGACAAATTTATCAATCTTATCAAATCCATCGCAATTCACAATAAAAAGGTCACTGACTTCCTGTAGGTATATTTATTATTTTACATGCGTGGAGCTAGGGCCGGATTATCACAGTGACTGGCGAGTTACTAAGTAAAACTCGGAGGACTGCGACAATTTTGGGCTGTTAAAGTCATGAGGATACGCTGATCGGAAATTAAAAATCAAGACTTAAAAGTTTAAGAATCAAGAAATGAAGACTAATTGTTAGAATTTCACATAGTACATAGTTGTAGGGTATAAGTAGTTAGTAGACCGATAAAGTACGTAAAACTCGGTGGGCTCAATTTGTCCAATCCGGCCCTGCAGAGTGCACATACTCGTATACCACACAAACTACATATAGGTACAGTGGTATAACAACTGCAGTAGATACCTATATATAGTATAGCAAGAGTTACAAGTGCATAATCAAGTTTATTTCGAATAGGATTATTAAAAATTACAATAATTATTATGTATGCCCAAGTTCGGTGTTTTGTTTTTGTATCATACTATTATACCTATTTATATTGTAAGCTTAGTTACGATTAAAAAGTCTTAAAAACTATGAAAGTTAAACCAAGTGACAATAAAACAAATTTGGGCCATTTTAAGCATTATTGCGTTTAAAACTCATTCTTGGTTATTCATCTTTTGTTTTTTTTCGTTTAAATAAGAATAAGAGTCTAGGCACTATTTATAAGTTATAATTTATCACCATTTATAAATATACCTGTATAAAATGTAGAATTAATGTAAAATGTAARCTTACTACGTAAAATGTACGCAAGTATCTATATATTAGATAAAATATCGATTTCATTAATATTATTCTCGTTTATATAACTAAATTTATTTATTTTTAACTAAATTTTTTTATATAACTAAATTTCTATAATTGAATAAATAATATATACAACATGCATCATGTATATTTTATACTTGGGTGTAAACTTATGTTGTTAAGTTTWAAAAAAATGTAATTTTTGCAATAATTTCGTTGCTATGTTAAACGAGTTGTAAAACATTAGAGATATCGCCTAATGATTATTGGAATTAAGTATTAAAAACGCTTCATCACATAAATATTAGTTATAATTTTATAAATCATGATTCATGACACATTTTATGGCTGGTGCAGTTCTATTTTATATTATTATCATGATATTTACTAAATATATAGGTACTAAAAAAGTTACGTTTAATGAATACCTACACGGAAAGGAAAATTATAGGTATTATACTTTTGAGTAAAAAAAGAAATACAATATACCTAGTTGTGGCTGAGTACAGAAATTAAATACCGAAAATGGAGCTGCGGCGAAAATAGCTGCCTCATAATAATATGTGTCATAATAGATACGTTATTGTTTTATATTATACAATAAACGAGTAGGTAATTCGAGCATGTATGATGTATGTATTTACTTCAGAATAGCAAAAGTTGTTCAATTTAAGTAGTAGGTACACCTATTATATTACTATACGATATTACTGACATACAAAAACAAGTCTCCGATTGGAATAATTATTACTAGAAAACACGCTACACCGTTGACTGAGCAATGGTCATTGTGGAGACGTGAAAACAAGTTTTTTAATCGATGCGTTGTTATATAACCGATGACCCCCGTTTTACCAAACTATGGTTCACTGTCATATCGGTATACAAAGTTTTAGTTGTTGTATGATAACATAATATACCAAGGTTCCTAATGATCGCTGTTTAATGATATTACAAGCCCAACGACTCACCCCGTACAGTTTGCAGTCGTCGGTCAGATATTCAGTCGGAACGGCGGCGGTGCCGGTGGTCGCGACTGCAAATGCTAGTCCTAGACGAATCGGCGGCGGCAGACTGCGGCGGCACGGAAGAGATTCGGCGGCGGCGACGTCGGCGGCCGACCACGGCGGCGAGACTAGAGCGCCGTGCTGCAGTTGACATCGGCTGACGACTGAGTCAAACGGGAGCTGTCTCGATGCCGTGTCTGTATTGCTCGTGTCGTAAACAACGGATTGAGTGGAGGTGTAGTTAAGAAAAACAACGGAGAGTCGTAAGCAGTCGAGTGGAGGCGGACACGGAATTATTACGATRATCTGTCAAATCGATTGAATAAAAAATTTTCTCCCGTACACGACGACGACTCTCGTATTAAAAATAATTTAATAGGTGTAATATAATTATGTGRCGAAAACGATCGGACGAATAACCGTCTCGTTTGCCTCGACAACGACGGACAGCGACAACTACGACGACGACAATAACGACGTGATTCTTCGGACCGATCGCTGTAAACTGCTCCCCGTACGCGGTTTGCTGCTGTTGCTACTATTCCGCGGCGGCGATTGCGCCCTGTCGGACGAATCCGGTACTACACAACCAACGCCTCGACGGGCGGGGGGCGGAGCGCGTCCGGTGAGGCGGTGGTGGCGGTTCCATGCATAGCGCGCGCGGATCCGATGGGGCTGCTGTAATATACGCGCRTGGTTCACCTGGTGCTGCCGCCGTCCTTTGCCCCCTCACCACCGCAACGGCAGTCGGCGCTCCTACGGCCCGACCAATCATGGAGCTCGGCCACGCCCACCACGCCACAAAACTCCATCCGTGAATAATAGTAATAATAACAAATAATAATAGTGATGGTAAAAAAATGAAAAAAAATCAAAAATTCTCGAAAGAAGCATCCCAAAAGAGAAATTTATRTATATTCACATGATAATAATATTATAATAGTATATGCTTCACGTATGTAGTACGTTATATATAATATATAGGTATACGAGTATAATGTTGTGTACATATATTATAATGCGAGTTCCTGGTATATGCAGTTGAATTATATTGCTGGCACATATCATTATTATTGTACATTATATATAGGTAGATACCGCGGTTGCTGGTTATTGCGCTGTAATGCTGTATATATACATATAGGTATTATATAATATCTGCATCACTATTGTACATTATTTTTGTGTTTAGGTATATATAGTGGCATGCAGGTAATAATATATATATATAGACTTATATATAATTTAGTTATTTTAACTGCGTGTATATGGTATATACTATACGGACATCTTATACATATCTATATATAGTCAGCTGTTCAATTGATATTAAATTTTATTGTTTTTATACCTTTACAAGTATATTATGGAGAAACGTGTTTTAGATTTTTAAGCTCGTTTCACATGAACGCATTTCAGTTTACACGGTTATACGAGCTACAGTGTAGTCGGTAAGTTCATGTATTACGCGCCACTTCGATGAGGGAAAAGTGCCATTGTCGTGCAGGGGAAGCTTGCGGGTGTATATTATATATATTTAGACAATGAAAATCGAAACTCTCGTGCAGGACGCAATAAATACGAATGAATAATGATACGCGTCCATGTGAAACGGCCTTATGTACATGATGCCATGATGGGTATATTTCTGCAGGATCTCTGTAATGTGATTGATATAATAATACGGCTGTTGCTGAATAATTATAAAATATATGATATAATACACCATTTCAATCCACCGCACGCGCATAATATAAAATCGATCGCTATAGGTAATATATTATTATAGTTTAAAACTTTCTTTAGTGATAGTATTGACTGTAAAAATAAGGAAAAAACAATCATTTTAGTCTTGGAAGTTATTACGATATAATATCTATTATATGCATATTACTATCAAACGTGTATAAATAGGTATTATATTATTATATATAAACCTGATTTTTATATCACAACATTATATTTCCACGCGCGAAAAGCCGCAGCTGCGTCGAAATGATTATAATATCATAATCGTCAAGATAAAAGGAAAATAACAAAAACAACAACCCGCCGTATAATAGTGTCTCTATATATACAGTCATCAAATTGTGATTATTATTATTTCTCAGTTTTTTATTATTATTATTATTATTATTATTATTATTATTGTTTTCGTATGCCGGCTGCTGCAGACACAGCTATACTTAACCAAACAACAACAATGAATATAATATAATATAATATATATGTGTGTGTGTGTGTGTGTAGGTTTGTTTACGATATAATAATACGTAGAATATTATATAACATAGCGGAGAGCAGTAGTTATATCATATATTATATGTGATATTATGATAAATAATATTGTTCGTAAGAATATGGCGGTGAAAAATACCTACCGTTTACCTATCCCCTCGTATAAATATATATGCAATACATATATTTTCAAATGAAAAAAAAAAAATCGTGGAAATAAAGACATAATATAATATTTATATATTATACGAGAAGAAAATGTTGCCAACAATATACGAGCTGCAGCTTCGGGCGCTGTACACCTACGAGGGAAAAGATCCTCGTTTTCGAGTGGTGATTCAATACACGTGTACCTATATTTTATATTATATAATATACATATATATATATACATATAATGACGAGGACGGGAGATCAAACGCGCTAATCCCTCGAGTATATATATATATATATATATATATACAGAGAGAGAGACCCCGGGCGGCGGGTTATAGTACCTATATATACATACGGCTAGTGTAGTAAAACCCCCGTGGAAAACCCTTTTCGTTACCATTTATACTTTTAATACCTATATATACACGCGCACTTATAAAGCGCGGACAATATAAGAACAAATTGTGAGGGTTATTTTCATTTTTTTGTATAAGCGAGAAAACGCGCGTGATTATACTATATTACCTATATTGCATAATATTATATTATGTACTTTATATACACATGGCAATCCTGCACTGCATGCATTTACGTTAGGTTAGCTAACTACACTGCACTGCTGTAGCAGGAAAATGGCAAAAACCGGTGGCCGAATATAATGCTATATATTATATATTAGACATATTATTATAATAATATACGATATACCATTATATACTTACCTAAATTAATATTGTATCCGAAATAATTTACTATTTCTCAGTTAAAATATATCTTCCAGATAATATAAAGGTACCACCTCAAAGCTATAAACTGTATAATTGTATGTATAATATATAATGGGTATAACAATAATATACTCTTTTGCGACGTAGTGCAGTATAATAATACTCATATATATAATGACATGCGTGCATATGATATTGTGTATTAAAAACACACTCTCTTATACCAACTACATTTACTATATATACACTATGAAACTATATTGAAATATTTTGAACTTTTTGTGAAGTGGATCCACATAGCGTATGTATATAGGTACTATTATATTATATACGATTATTTTTGGTGTTGGGTATTAATCGTGCGATTTGCGTTTATTGGTAATTGTATATAAAAGTTGCTTACGGCGTGGATATCATTTTTAACTTGTATATAGGTAGCTATACCTATATATATATATATACATTGTACCTATTATACATTAGTTCGTTAGTCGATCAGATAATTTCAAGATAAGATATCAAATAATTAAAAATAATATATATTATTTAAGTAAGGAGTATTGAGCGGGCCAATCAAAACGCAGTCTTCAGTTTGTCCTGGAGTGGCAACAAAAATTTTCATTTCATCATCATGTTATTGTTAGAAGTGCATCAAGCGCGTTGTCCCAAAAGTTTAATTGACAAGTTCAATAATTCTAATTGATTTTGTTAAAAGTATTACGCCTGAAGAAAAAAAGTAAGAGACCGAAGAAAATGTACAATGTTCAATATCTGTTATATATATATATATATATATATATATATGTAAAATTGACATAAATGAAGTGGAAAATCAGTATGAAACTATAGACATATTGAAAATATTTCATTATTTAAGATTATATCATACTATTTGTATTAGTATACCCTGCAATAACAAAAATTTTAATTTTCATGAAGTAGTTGAAAAAAAAATTTAAAAAAATTGCCCACTCTCGGCCACTCAGTGTTGTAAGAGGCCATATTTTCACTTTAGATATAGATGCTCTTCATAGAGTGCAGGACGTTCACTTCATGCCGAAACGAGCGATTATACACCAAGTGATGGATATATGCAGTATTTTTAAACTCTCACGATTACAATATACAGGCGAGTATATTATTATCAGACGGTTATTTCTACTGCAGACATTATTATACATCGATGTAGTACACATAACAATAATACCTTCGATTGATGCTGCAGGTATTGTTATTATTCGAGTAGGTATACCTACCTGTACCTATCCTGAATCGGTTTCGCAACGGCGTGGCAACCGCTACACGCGCGGGCTCGCCCAGTCATCGTCGGACGATTTGTCACCCGGCGCGTAGGTAGGTGCGCGCGCTTAATACGCGGGACACCCCGTCGCACGTCGCGGTCCCCCGAGATATTATTRTTATCATACGTACAACGGACGACTTGATGGATTGCCGTCGGGGGACGTATCGTTTTGACGTCAATATACATATTATTATATTTATAGGACATGCGTATCATAATAATAATAATAATGTGCAGAAGGGTCACCCGCTCATCGGCACGTATAGGTATAATATATAATATGGATCGCCGTCTCCGCGTAAGGTCGTAGTCATCGTGTTTTTCTCTTGTAGATGCCCGTCGTCGTCGTCGTACCTATAACTCAACCAAAAACCCGAAACGCACGCACCTACCATCGTCATGTATTAGGTATATAGCCATATAGGTATACATATCGCGCACCCGCGACCACATCGATTTACACGCGTTTGTTCCTTCGACCGTYGTCGTTTTGTTCACCACAATTATTATAGTGCCTACATAATATATTAACTTTATATAGGTGCTCCGCCGACGTGTATATACGTATATACGCATCCATCGATCGATAATCGCGTCAAAAATTATGATACAGCTACTTTGAACGCTATTTACATCACGTTGCGTATATCCCATGTGCGTGCTGCAGGTTTCGGGTGCGCGCATGTGTAGATATATACATATATGTATATATATACATATGGAGGTAGGTATATATCATAACGTACACGCGTATAATATATTATTATTATCAACTGCAGTATATACGAGGTAGCGGCAGGAGATACGCGACGGCGGTGGAGGCAGACACTAATCGCTCGGGCCGGGATCGATTAGGTACAGATAACGCGCGCGTGATTTAT